CTGCTGCTGCTGCTGCTGCCGCTGCTGCTGCTGCTGCTGCTGCTGCAGGAAGGGGCGGGAGGACTACATGCAGTACGAGCGGGGCAGCAGCTACACAATATACCGGATGGAGTTTGCTGCATGCGTTCGGGGGGCCCCCTTTGCTGAACTTGCAAGGGCCCTTTTTGTGAATTATGAAGTTTATTTAATTGGATTAGTTTCGATGAGCAACAGAGTGGCATTAAACCCGGCGCAGTACACGGTGGGTGCGGAGCTGCTGCATGCGCGGGCTCCCGCTGCTGCTGCTGCTGACGCCGGCAACCCCGCAGCAGCAGCAGCAGCAGCAGCAGATCAACAAACCTACGCTGGCATTGTCTTGGCCCCCAATCTCGAAGTTGTTGCTCGATTAGCTTCCGCCAAAGAAATTGGCACCCGCAGGAGACACAAGAGACAGTTCGGAATGCACAGCCAACAAAGCAGTCCGTGCTGCTGCTGCTGCTGCTGCTGCTGCTGCGGATGCTGGGGATGCAGATGCAGATGCGGACTTTGCTGCGGATGCTGCGTAGCGGTGGCTGCTCTTTCCGCTGCTGCTGCTTCTTCTTCTGCTGCTACTGTTGCTTCTTCTTCTGCTGCTACTGCTGTTTCTTCTTCTTCTGCTGCTGCTGCTGCTTCTCTTGCTGCTGCTGCTACTGAGCTGTGCTTGCTGTTTTTGCTGCAGCAGCAGCGCGAGTGTATGTGCTTGCGTGGAGGCCCTAAGTGTATTTGAACAGAAGAATTCTTTTGCATTTAAAATGAGATTTATTTTTTAATTAAATATTATTTCTTTCTGAATTCAAAATATTTTTTATTTTTGGATTTAAAATATATTTCAAGTGCTTCTTTTGCCTCCTCTTCCTTTGTTTGCTGCGCGCCAAAGTGCTCACTTATCCCAACTAAGTGAAAATGAATGTAGTCATTTATTTATTTATTTATTCCTTCGTTAATTTATTAATTTATTTAATAGTGAGAGAGTTTTGCTGCTGCATTTTTGCCGCAGGTGTGTACGGAGCCCCGCTGGGCCTGAAGCTGCACCCTCTGAAGGAAAGTCCTTCTCTGCACTCCATGGAGGAAGCCATCCACGGATCTGCTTCCCAGTCCGCCGACCCTGCAGCAGCAGCAGCAGCAGCAGCAGCAGCAGCAGCAGCAGCGG